ACTTGCAATAAGTTCGTGATACCAGCAGTTTTTCATAAAATATTCTTGGTAACTAACTACAAAACATAATTTAGGAGATACAATATGATTGAAAATAAGACAAAGAGAAATTGGATAAATGTAAAGTGATAGATAGGTTAAACCTTGTTACAATAGGGCGTCGTGATCTAACAGTAAAATAGAAAACATAATTAGAAACTGGATTTCAGTACAAAAATAACTAAAAATGTATTTTGAACTAAAAAAATTAATATCAAGTAACGCAACGAGTAAGCGTCCTTAAATGAGGCTTTAAATGGGTCGTATATTTCACTTATCCCAGCAATGTAAGAAAAGGTGTGTTAATACACTGGTTGATGAGAAGGTTGCATGATGGTGTAGACTGTTAAAAAGAGTGTTATTTTTTGTGTATTGTATTCGATGCATTTGAACAGTTATAGAAACGTGAAAACAAATGGCGCCCAATGTCAGTAGTTAGTGGCGCAATAACCGTCATTTCCGGTGAAAGTGGATCATTGTTGTATGCATCGGCCAACGGATTTTTATCAGTCAACTATAAGATAATTGGTATCTGATATTATTTATTTACAATTATACTCTAATTTTGGGTTCAGCTGTAGAAAGACGTTTTAATGCCTGTTTCTATTCAGTATGTACAATTCACGGTTGGACTATTTGTGCCAACTTACTGTTGCACCTAGATCAGTATAAAAGTTTCTTGTGGAAAACTGAGATGCGTCCGAAGTGTAAGTCTGATGTCTACATGTACTTTTATTTGAAATGTTTATATAAAAAAATTCTGTGGTGGTTCAAACCGACCGAATTGTATCAGATGAACACTTAGTTAAAGGTTTGGTTCCTGTCTGAGGAAAACAACTCTGCAGAACGACCGTTTGCCGAAGTTAGCGGGTTCTCGCGTCGGAAAATTCCAAGATGACAACACACCAGTGATGTAATTGTCCAATGACTGACAACTCGGCAATAAATAGGGAGTCAACAGCAGCGGTGCTCAATCGTATGTTATATGAAGTAACATTGAAGTACATCGGACATTGCATTCATTGATTGCGACAATATGATAATGCCCATATCAATTTTATTCACGTTCTGATTTAACTTGGGGTAGTCGCTATTCTTTGATTCGGTGAAATCCACATCATCTATTATGCTCAACGGCAGTGTTGTAGAACTATATATTACAACTTACAATGAGAAGCTTGATACACATCTGTGAACTTATTATCACGCCGACTACTGTTAAAGATTACTGCTGAGCAATACTGTTGGTGTATTATTGCCACTAAATTGTTCCGTTGTTGTTAGTGATAACTACTGTTAAATATTACTGTTAGCAGTTACTTTGTATTGTCACAATACTGATAGATATTACTGTTACCAGTTACGGTGTATTGTCACACTACTGTTAAATATTACTGTTACCAATTACGATTATTGTCACACTACTGTTAAATATTACTGTTAGCAGTTACGATGTATTGTCACACTACTGTTAGATATTACTGTTACCAGTTACGGTGTATTGTCACACTGTTAGATATTACTGTTATCAATTACGATTCATTATCACACTACTGTTAAATATTAATGTTAGCAGTTACGATGTATTGTCACACTACTGTTAAATATTACTGTTAGCAGTTACGATGTATTGTCACACTACTATTAAATATTACTGTTAGCATTTACGGTGTATTGTCACACTACTCTTAAATATTACTGTTACCAGTTACGGTGTATTGTCACACTACTGTAAAATATTACTGTTACCGATTACGATGTATTGTCACGCTACTGTTAAATATTAATGTTAGCTGTTACGATGTATTGTCACACCACTGTTAAATATAACTGTGTCCAGTTACGATGTATTATCACACTACTGTTAAATATTACTGTTAGCAGTTACGATGTATT